ATTAGCACATGTCTGTGCTGGAAAATAATTCTGATATTGCAGCAGAAAAAGGTGAAAAGCCAAGAAAATGAGGAAGAATAGTTTTATTACCTTGAACTTACTTGTGCTAATTTGTATTATATATTAGCACATGTCTGTGCTGGGAAATAACTATTGTATTGCAGCAGAAAAAGTTGAAAAGCCAACAAAATGAGGAAGAATAGTTTTATTACCTATTTCTTCATTTCTATCTTATTTTGCATAGTAAAGTTTAACATCAACAAAGGCATAATATGAAACTATGTGAAAGTCAAGTGGAGCAGTTTGGCAACAGAGCTGTTTAAGAAGGCATCACATGCTCAAGAAGTAGTAGCTAAGCTTAGAGAAAACTAAACAATTCAGCAGATAAGTCTGGAATGCTTCCTAGAATTTTTTTATGCTCAATGCAATTGTTCATTTTGTTGAATAGCTTTTTTGTAGCTTTTTTTTTTGCTGTTCTTGAGTTTTATGGCCCACTTTCAATGTAATGGTGATATAGCAAACTTTACAAGCGGAGGAGGACCTTCATGCATTATTTCAGACATTAGCAGCAGGAAGCTGGGTAAAACAACTGACTGTATCTTATCTACAGATAGCTTAATAACTTGAAAGAATTCAAAGTCCCTAACCAACATTGGAGAGGAGCAACTGGTTTGAAGTAAACAACCAAGGGTATGGCTTAAGATATTTTAGTCATATATTTCTGGGAACAAAGCATAGATCAAACACAACAGCTTCTTTTGAAGAATTCCAAATTTGACCATTTGAAAAATACATGTATTCCAGGCCAAAAGAGGCAAATGAATAATGCTGATAATGAATTTCTCACCTCTATAGTTCCCTGCCTAAGCTGTTCAACAGATATCTGCTTTATTTTCTGCCTTTGTTCTTCTATTCTCCTTTTCATTTGTTCTTCCTTCTGTCTTTCATTCTCATAAAACTTTGAGCCTATCAATACAAAGTTGAAAAGATGACATTTTTATTTCTAACTCTAAAGAAAAAAGAATTGTACAGCATAAAGTATCTTTACAAACAAGGCAGACTGATGCTAAATCTCTTTCAGAAGACAACAGAAACTGTAGGCAAAAATTTGTGTTTTTTACCTTAAAATATTTCAATTTCTTTAATCTGAAATACATTTTTTTAAAAAACACTACTTTTCTCTTCCATCACCATTTTTAGTACTTGAGGAGTATGCCAGTTTCCCAATCTGAATGGTTAAACATTATCATTACCAGAATTATTGCTTTCATGGCAGGAATGACATTCCTAAGATGAGATCTCTGATTGTATCTCAACAAAAAGTTTTTTTCAGTTACTTTAACCCTTAACAAACCCTAAATATCTTAAATGGACTAGTCCATCTTTCAATCTTGACAAACCCATTCATCATTTTCAGGGAAAATTAAAAAATATGTACAGACTGAATAGCCCATACATAGAGCATGATCAGAAGTAGATATTTCTATGTTAATCATTTTTATACGACAGAGACTCAAATTTGAAATAATTTTCATATAGAATACTTTTCTTTTTTACCATAAAAGGATGCTCATCTCTTACTCTGAAAAACTAGTAAAAGTATTAGATTTACCTTTTGAAGCTTCATGTATAATTTGGTTGATTCTTTCTTTATCAAGACCTTCCATACCTGCCTTGTTGTCATTCAATAACATTCTTTTCACTACAGTGCTCCCATCTGTGAAAATATAGAAAATATATTCACTACAATGCTCCCATCTGTGAAAATATAGAAAATATATTCACTACAGTGCTCCCATGTATTCACTGACAGGCAAATTTATATCAAACCCTCGTTCTGAATAAATCAAAAGCTGTGTTAATTAAAAAGAATAAAATCCATAACTGTAGGCTTTATATTTTCCTTTTTTCCTTCTTCAAACTTGTTCCAGTAAACATGACCTGTGAAAGCGAAACAAGATTGTTTTCTATCTTTAGCTCTGATGGCCATTTTGTGCAGTGAAGCAGGACATGCAAGCAATATGCACAACAGAAGTTTGACCTGTGAAAGGCGTACAAGATAAATCTATTTTTAGCTCTGGCAGCCATTTTGTGCAGTGAAGTAAAATGTGCCATCATTATGAACAACAAGGGTTGGTCATGATCACTCATGTGAAGTTTGTCAAAATCCTGATTTGAAAGCCGTACAAATAGTATTTACTTTTAGCTTGGCAGCCAATTTATGCAGCAAAGCCGAAAGTGCCGGCAATATGCACAACAAGGGTAGGTACTGATCATGCCTGTAAAACTTCGTCGAAAACAATTTCTCTCAAAAATTTTGCAACACATAATGCTGAAGCAGGTACATACATAATTAAAACACTCTTGATATTCACTTAATTGAACAATTTTTACAATCATTCAAAACCTACCTGCTGTACTTGCCAAGTTGTTAGCTGATTGTAAAGCTTTCAGTTTCAAGTTCTGGCTCTCGGCACTGTTGTTCTGATGGCACCCAGGATGTAATAACGGAGTTACATTTTTGTTGGTGTTAGGATCTGCCCACTGGGTGCTTGTCCAATCCTCACTATCTTCCCAACTATCCATTTCACAATCAGAGAGGCTTACGTCACTTGCCATTTTACTTGTACTTCTGTAAAAATAGAATTCCTTGTCGTATAAAAAAGTTACATTTACACAAGGAAGTAACCGGCAACGCAATGAGGTCCCGGGCTTTGGTTTGCCCAGCTATAGACTACAAATATATATAGATTTCAGAGTCATTTCTAGTTTGGTGCTGTCATTTTCAATGTTTCTCAATGACAATAGGCGTATTCTGATAATGGAGCAATCGCAACGTTTCGGTTTTATAATAATTAATTGTCAAGGTTTTCTAATTCATTGAAAACCAAAGCAGTGCATGAAATACCGAATAACACCTTTAAATCGGAACTAGAACTCCGCGAGTCGGATGTGTCACCTTGTGAACAGTATAGCTGTCACTTCGGCATTTTCTTCTTAAATGTAGGTTTTTTTTTTAATTATAAACACTGCTCTTACAATGTACATGTACCTTTAATTTTAGTGGCATTTGAACTAATTGTAACAATGTTACATCAGGATTAATAACAAGAACTGTCGGAGGACAGTAAGGCTCGACTATTCGAAAAAGTTGTTACAAGGGTGTTTTATTGAGTACAAGCATGCCGTATTATAATTTGTCTCAGTGACAAATGTTTAGATATTAAGTTGCTGTATATCTAAATCAATAGGCTTATTTTTCAGTCCAGCTTAAAATATTTTTCAAATTATTTTCATTTCAGGAAGGAAAAAGAAAGTGTTAGATGAAGATCAAACAGAAGTGAAAAGATCATCCGCTGGTTCTTCAAGTCCCTCTCGTGCAAACCGGCCCTCCGACAGCGGTACCTCAACCACACAACATTAACTAAAATTTCTAAGCTTCAAAGGGGCAAATAATTCCGCAAATATTGCAGGTAGAGTTATGCAACTTTGCAAACTGATGTACAATGTTACTATAAAAAAGTATTGCAAATTTCAATTGAATATCTCAAGCAATAATTGAGATATTTGACTTTACAAAAAACTTTAACCAAAATTTCTAAGTTAAAAAGGGGCATTATTCTGTAAATATTGTAGGCATGGTTATCCAACTTGTCAATCTGATGTACATTGTTACTATAAATAAGAATTGTAACTGTAAGTTTCAAGTGAATATCTCAAGCAATAATATTTGACTTTACAAAAAACTTTAAACAATGCAGGCGCTGACGCGGACGCCAGGGCGACTACAATAGCTCTCATATTCTTCGAATAGTCAAGCTAAAAACTGTTTAATTATGAAAAATAAAAATACCCTGGAAAAGTTTTACACTGACAGATCAAATGGAGGACTCTGTGATGGATTCTTAAGCATTAAACTTCAGGTCAATGAAAAAAGCAATAACCTAAAAAAATAAGAAGTGCAGAGTACCAGTTTTTGTGCACTGCACTTCTAATCAATAAGATCTATCATCCTATGAAGTTTCAAGTCCATAGCTTTTATAATTTATGAGATGTGGCCCAGACAAAAATAAAGTATGAAAATTAACAAAGGGCAATTACTCAAAAAATAAGAAGTGTAGAGTACCGGTTCTTGTGCACTGCACTTCTTCTTAATGAGATCTATCATCCTATGAAGTTTCAAGCCCAGACAAAAATAAAGTATGAAAATTAACAAAGGGCAATAACTCAAAAAATAAGAAGTGTACTGGCATGTGAGCAGTTCCCATACAGAAGCAGTACCCGTATTTTTCATTTAAACGCTTGATTTTTACATGCATTCTTCAAAAATTCATTTCAAATCAAGCAGATACATAAACGAGACAAAATCTAAGTGTCAGTTCGGCAGTACGTATAAAAAGTCTCATTTTAAATCACTTTCACCTGTGCGTTGTCAAAACGTGACCTTGTTTTATCTGGGGGAATTCCGTCCTTGCGCGCATGCGCAAACATACTTACACGTGAGGCATGTTAAAAGGTTTTCCACTAATACCACCTGTTTACAGATAAGAAGGCAATGTGATGAAAACTTGTTTAATTATCAGAATTTTGACCAATATTACTATATAAAATAATTTTATGGCTTTGATGCGTAAAATATCATGCATACAAGCATGCCATCGCATGTGAATGCGTTGGGGGTAATGGTACCGGGTAATAGATACACGCGTTTAGTTTACTTTCTATTTTCTGAATAACATCTATTTATCTCTTAGAAAATGGTCTGTTCAACAATTATAAATGAAAAATAGGTCCGATATAATAAAATTGTATAATTATAATGGGTTAAATTTTATGTACGGGAACTACTTCTCTTCATACAAAATAATGGATAATTTCGGTACCCCATATGAGGCCTCATAACTAAGAGTTATTCTATGTTTAGAACATGATGGAATTTCCATGATTTGTGTGACGAGCCGAATATTGATGTGTAACATTCAAATTTTGGTGAGTGAGCGTAATAAAAAATAATGATTAAGTAACTACGATTTTTGTACGGAAACTGCTCGCATGCCAGTAGAGTACTGGTTCTTGTGCACTGCACTTCTTAATGAGATCTATCCTCCTATGAAGTTTCAAATTCATAGCTTTTATAAATACTAAGAGAAATGGCACAGACAAAAATAAAGTATGAAAATTAACAAAGGGCAATAACTCGGACCAAAATTTTACATACTTTTCACAAAACCTGTCGGCGAAATTTGTCGAAAACATGGTCAGCAATGTCACTTCTATGCTGACGATTCTCAAATATACATTTCTTTCAAACCGTTGGACAACACCAAAACTGAACTTGTACTTGATTCTGTCTCAAACTGCTTAAAAGAAATAACATTCTGGATGAACAGCAACATTCTCAAACTGAATTCAGACAAAACAGAACTTATAGTCTTTTCGTCGGGTAGCAATACAGACTCAGTGAAAAATATAACTGTCAATGTGGACCAAGCTGAAATCAAACAGTCATCAAGTGTAAGGAATTTGGGTGCATTCCTTGATTCAAGGGTTAATATGGAACATCATGTTAGCTCCGTGTGCAGATCTTCGTATGCCCAAATAAGTAAGATAGGACGTATTCGAAAAATATATCAACGAAGAAGCTACAAAAACACTCGTTAACTCTCTCGTGACATCAAGACTGGATTATTGCAATGCTCTTCTATATGGTATACCTCAACAAACCATGAAAAAAACTTCAACTTGTTCAAAATACTTCAGCCCGTGTGATTAAACGTACATCTAGGAAAGATCATATTACACCAGTGATGAAAAGATCTTCATTGGCTGCCAATCGAATATAGAGTGAATTACAAGATCTTATTACATACTTTCAAGTCACTGAAACAACAATCTCCATCATATATGCAGGAAATGATTCAAGTTTATTCCACTTCCCGAAATCTGCGCTCTTCAAATGCACCTGTACGATTAGTGCAACCAAAAACTAAACTGAAATTTGGTGAAAGGAGTTTTTCGGCATCAGCTCCTAAGCTATGGAATTCACTACCAAGTCATCTAAAAAACTGTAACACAGTAGAAAATTTCAAAAAACATCTTAAAACACACTACTTCAATTTAGCTTATGGAAAATAATCAGTGAATGTTATGAATGAATTTTATAAACAGTGAATACGAAGTATCTGTTATTTGAATATTAGTTTTATTAAAAAGTTTTTTTTTTTTTTTTTTTTTAAACAAACAATTTTTAAATCAATTTAGTATTTCTATTGTTTTATAACGATGATTTAGCAAGATCTTATCTATTATTATAAATCCATTGCTAGCATTTTTAAGCACAGAATATTTCTTTTTTTTTAAAATCAAAAAACTAACATTGATTTATCATAATAATTTACATGTGTTATATAATATATGGCTCGTGAATGCAGAGGGGTCAGATTTCAAGAATATTTAGTGTTAAGGTGTGGGGCGTGGCCCTTTCCTCCTGTGGTGATAGTAGTGATGTCATCCTGGGGGTCTGCATGCGCTGTGGGGAGGTATCTGACTCCCTCGGTACTGGACCTTGGTGTAGCAGTACTCATGCTATCCAGGTTCGTTAGGTTCAATATTCTTTTAGTCTGATGTCGCTGTATTCATTCTTTTATCAATCGTTCATATATTTTCTGTTGTAAAGTATGACAACAAAACAATGAAAATCATCAATATGCATTTAAAGTAGCTTTTAATATTTATTTATGAGTTTATGTTAAAAGGCACATTATTTCTTACACATTTATATATTGAAGACAATTTTAATGTATGACAATAATATTGTAAAGTGAGTTTTAAGGATCTTTAAGTTATATTGTATTTATATGTAAAAATAATTCCATAATTTATACTTTTAATTAGTTAATGCAAAATATTTTTAATGTTCATAATCCTGTTCATTTATATTGTTTTAGACATATATGATTGATGTAAAGCGCCTTTGAACATTTTAATGAAAAGGGCGCTATATAAATGTGGTATTTATTATTATTATTATTAACTCAAAAAATAAGTTGTGCAGAGTATCGATTCTTGTGCACTGCACTTCAAGTCATTATAAGAAGCATGCATACCAAGTTTAAAGTAAATCCGACATATAGTGACTGACTTATGCTCCTAACAAGCTTAAGGGGATGCCGATGCCGACACCAACTAAGGTAACCCCTATATGTTCAAGGTAGTGTTGGGTATCGGACTCAAAAATCACTATCAATAATCGGACCACCACAATCGATTGTCTGCCGATAGTATAATCGAGTTTTGCACTTATTATGGCCCTTTTTTCTTTTAACGTACCAATCCTTGTACATGTATGTATTTATATTAGGTTTTGAATACAAAACAGACTTTAGGATAGTTTGGAAGTAAAGGAAATTTCTATTTGACTGCGTGTAAAAAAGTTATGCCCAAGATAATTCAGGGGTGGTAGAACATTAAAATAATCGATTTTTAAAAAAGGACTATTGATCGTCACCGATTTTGGGGTGGTCCGATTAGTTATCGATTTTCAGAGACAATCGGGACAACACTAGTTCAAGGCGACACAAAAATGAACGATTTTTTCTGACTTCCCATTTCATAGAGGCTTTGATTAATTTTATATCAGTTTTCTCCCACTCCATGTATGTCACATTATCTAAAGAGTCTTCAGCGAACAGGTTTTAGCTATGCTATGCCCCACAACATCAAAATAAAAGCAACATGTAATGATGGAAGCCAGAACTAATGTCACATCTGGAGATATTGAAATACTTAATCACAAAACCACTTTAAATGTAACCGGAAAAATTATTCGTTTCTTCTCACTACCTTCAATTTTGTCAATTTAGTACAGATAACGTGCTTTGCCTAACCTGGAACATACGATACGTTATAGTACATCCCAGGCCTAACATAATAATTTTGCTAATTTATAATGCAAAGTCAAAATAAAATACATTTGGGTAGCGTGTAAATGTTTCTTCAATACTCGAATAACTAACTTTCTTAGATTACTAAAACGAATTTATCGTAAATTATTATAAATTCATTGAAAAAACTACAAATTTCATATTTACCAAATCGCCCGCTCTTTCTACCGGTGTATCATAAACCTATGTGTTTTGTGATAACTACTTTTTGCGTAACGGCAAAAATACACTAAATAATCATTTTCTCTCGGTGTAGATATAATACCACTAAATGTTTTTCGAGCTTTAATAAAAATATATCGTAACTCTTAAATTCAAAACTTAAAACCTTTTTCAATCATTTCAAACGGTGCAAGTCAATCCGGACCCAAGTAAACCCGAACCCAAATCAATCCGCTCCCAAATTATTCAATCCGGCCCCAAGTCGATCTGATTTCTGATCCCATTTTTATTATTATTTATTTAGCACTACTTTTTCTTTAGTAACATTTTTATTCAAGAACAACATGTGAACAGTTTACTGTTATCAAGATCAGTCAGCATCCACAAAAATATTTAATTTAAGTTTGACAAGTAGATGAAAATAATAGGTACAACAAAGGAGTGCATTTGTGAATTTGTTTTCTAGCAATGCAAATCCAATAAAAAAAAAGTACTTTGCTAGTTTTGAAAAAAAAAATCAACCTCCATGTCGCAAAAAATCATCAGCGCAACCGAGATATGAACGGTATAACAACACTTCAATGTTTATAATAAAGAAAATATTGTTTTTAGATGATTTCTATAGTTTCAAAATATTACATTATTTATCCCATACTATTGCAAATAAAAAAAAAATGCATTGCTAAGCGTATATTATTGTATTTTTTTTTTAATTTTGCACTCCGTAGCGCCCATTGCGCCAAAAACTCTCCATTGTGTATTTTAGTGGTACCGTTTTCTAGCAGGGCCTTTCAAATAGAAACACAATGTTTCCTGCTACATAGATCACGTCCAAATTGCTAAAATTGGTTTTGTTTACCTTCCTCCGACCTACTCATCAAGTGTCTCTGCAAAATTTGCATTCATGTTTTTGGCAACAGAAAATTCAATAGGGAATTGTAAGAATCTCTATTCTTAGATTTCTTTAAATATGCACTATAAATATATAGCTTATATTTTAATATTTATAGATTCCCTTTTGACAAATACTCTGGCTGCGGACACTGCACCGGGAAGTTTCAGTTAGAAACGATGTCTTCTATATTCTAATTTTTAAAGACATGACTGGTGTCCTGTTGAAGAAGAATGTAGGTGTTAGAATGGACAGTATCTCGGTAAAACGTTGAATCAATGTTCGAACCATGTGACACAAAACTGCATATTGTACATGTAGTTTACAACCGTATTAAATCATCAATAAAGTTAGGTCATTTATTTTAACATTCACTTTTATTTTCTATCCGTTTAAATTTGTCTTAAAATTCAAATAATTCTTTAACGAATGCATTAGAAATGCCAGTTTCAATTACATAAAACCACATTATATTATTTCGCGACTATATGCTAATTGACAATGAAATAGTCGCAGGATATGACGTATAAATTGTTATTGATACAGACAACATCATTAAAGTCATAGCTTATATTTAGCGATCCTAATTCAATGTCAAATACATAAGGTCTATTAGCTTTATTGGGTATGTTGTTAACACACAGTGTCCTGTGCTCTCCGTTATTTTAATAACTTAATTTGTAAAGTTTTCGAAAAGTTGAAGCATGGAGCTTTTTATTTCAATGCCCGTAATAAAAGTCTCTGGTTGAAGCGAACTTTTTTAGTGTAGACCATATACCGGGTAAGTTTACTTTATTTATTATTAAAATGATCAATATATTTTCTGTGTGAATTTTTTGCTTCAGCTTGTTAAAAGTATATATATCATAATTTATTTCGACCTTGCTATTTTTTATGCACGGCTTTAAATGTAAATAAAGTTGTTTTTCTGCACATTAAACCCACTTAACATACATGTTACTTGTATGTGTGCATGCTATTTTTGTGTTTTTGTTGTTGTTTTTTGTGTGTTTGTGTGTGTGTTTGTTTGTTTGGTTTTTTTTTTTTTTTTTTTTTGCATTGTTTTTGTTTGTTTGTTATTTTGTTTGTTGTTGTTGTTGTCTTTTTTCAAAAGAGAAAAATGTTGCATTTTAACCATGATTCGTGATAAATGAACATTTTTGAAAAATCTATAATTTAATTCAAATTGAATACATTTATCTATTTTCATTCTGAAGAAATAGTTTTATTAGGTTGGTCACATTCAACTGTTTATAAATCAGTTTTAGATATATATGTAATGAACACTCAAATGAAAATTATCGATTTTTTGCAATAAACAAATTATAAAGCAAATAATTGCACTTTTTTAAAATAAATAAATATGCATTTGCTCAGGATTTTGTCTCTTGTGCTAGGGATCTGCGGATATTTCAAAATTTTACCAGTTCATATTATATGTTCTATTCTGCTTAAGCCGGTGCTAGAGGGCGTGGACGGTAGCTTGCAATTACCACTATCTCCATGAACTTGCTCTAATCAAACAGAGCATGCAATATTTTCCTTTCTGCCGTGTTTGGCTCTCTTGGGGATTCTGTTTTTCTCTATTTTATTTGAAGAAAACTTACTCTTACGCTGTTACTACAGTATTAAAAGGTCAATTAGCAAGTTATAACGAGTGGATGAACTAAAATATTTGTTTAAAATATTTGCAAATAATATCATCTCTTAAGCAAAGAGAGATTTCTTCAGTTTATGCACGCGGCAAATATGATGTAGAAATTATTGTTGTAAACTTTGTCCTTATATTTATGAAAATCATAACAGAATTGATTTATTAAGTGTTATTAAGTTAATTATAATAAAGGAACCATTATATTTTTCAGAGACTAAGCAAAATAATGAGTTTTTGTGGAGGTTATGATAAACAGTTAAAATAATGATCGAATCAAGGTACGTATCCCTCTTGTTTGTTAATTGACCTTACAGTACACGTGCACCGACAAAATAGATGTAACAGTTGAGTGTTATCACTGCTTATTTCATTTTATTATTTGTTTATAAGACAATGCTTTATTGTCGTCAGGCGTCTTCCTTTGTACGTGTGAAACTGGATTTAGGCGTCTTCCTTTATATATGGCAAACTTTTATATTTTAAAATGTTAAACTGGAAATATTCTGACATGCGTCTTCCTTTGTTCATGTTAAACTGGAAATATTCTGACATGCGCCTTTCTTAGTTCATGTTAAACTGGAAATTTTCTGACATGCGCCTTCCTTTGTTGATGTTAAACTGGAAATATTCTGACATGCGCTTTCCTTTGTTGACGTTAAACTTGAAATTTTTGACATATGCGCCTTCTGACATGGTCTTCCTTTGTTGACGTTAAACTTGAAATTTTCTGACATGAGTCTTCCTTTGTTCATGCTAAACTGGAAATTTACTAATAATATTATGCATCTTCTTTTGTTCATGTTAAACTGGAAATATTCTGACATGCGCCTTCCTTTGTTGATGTTAAACTGGAAATTTAATGATAATATTATGCATCTTCTTTTGTTCATGTTAAACTGGAAATATTCTGACATGCGCCTTCCTTTGTTCATGTTTAACTGGAAATTTTCTGACTTGCGCCTTCTGACATGTGCCTTCCTTTGTACACGTTAAACTTAAAATATTCTGATATGCGCCTTCCTTTGTACACGTTAAACTTGAATTATTCTGACATGCGCCTTTCTTTACAAACGTTAAACTGGAATTTTTCTGTCAACTTGAAGTTTTCTGATAGGTCCGTCCTTTGTACACGTTTAACTTGAATTTTTCTGTCAGGCTCGTCCTTTGTACATGTTAAACTGGTAAAACTCTCTAAGCTGCATTCATCTGTACATGTTAAACATGAAATTTTCTGTCAAGCGCATTTCTTTGTACATGTGAAACTGAAAATTTTCTGTCATGGGCATCCTTTTGTACATTATCTACGTTTGTTTAGCATTTTATAATAAATGATAGTGTCTTAGTTTTTTATTACACAATTTGTTTTTGCGATTCTTGATAATTTTTTATCAAGTAAGATTATGTTACACAAGTTGACCTAAAATTATCCAAACATTATTTCGATAAATTATATCATATTTTCCTTATACGCATGTATATAATTTATATATCTGAAAATTGTCACTTTCCTAGGCTTTTCAGAATTCAGATTACAAAACGGAATTGATATGCATGTACACATGATCTCTTCTGTTTGTTTTCAGATAGATATATATCGGCGGCACAAGAAAACATATATCAAAGATGCCAGTATGTATGAATAATAAATAGCTTATTTTAAGCGTGCACCAGTGTAATTTACGTCAATATGAATACAACCGATGCAGTGCTATTCAAAAACTTCACAATGGATAACCTTACACATAAGGACGACATCTCTACATCTTTAACAGACGTTACTACAACTTCTTTTGCCGCATCTACAACTTCCCAGCTTATCACTACAGTAGAGGAAACATATGTTCCAAAACCGTTGACTATAGATGACATTCTCGGCGTATATTGGGAATACAACACGGCACGTGAGCTAGGGTTACACGGATATCCGGTGATAATTGCCCTTGGAACTATGGGTAACATTCTCACCTTGCTTGTCATGTTAAGAAAGAAAATGCGCCAACGCACAACGTGCTTCTATATGGCAATAATCGCCATGTTTGATACATTAGTTCTTTATTTCGCTTGTCTTAGACAATGGTTGGCTCTGCTTCATGGAAACGATGCGTTGTCGCTGAGTTCGTCTGCGTGCAAAATCTTCAATTTCCTCACGTACACGTTCTTTGACATATCCGTTTGGCTATTAGTGATAATGACGGTCGAACGATTTCTTGTTGTTCGTTTTCCTCTTCATGCGCCCAAAATATCTTCAATTCCACGTGCAAGAATAGCTGTAATAACCTTGGTCATTATAATGGCACTGGTAAATTTACATTTCTTCTGGACGGTTCATCTCGACGAAAGGGGACGCTGTATTTACGTAGAAGAGTTTGAACATTTTCATGACAACATATGGCCCTGGATTGACGCGACAGTCTATTCATTTCTGCCATTTTTATTCCTTCTAATTTTTAACCTTCTTATCATTATTATTCATAGAAGATCTGTAATTCTACGAAGAACAACCTTGAACATTTCCAAATCTAGAACTAGAGACAGAAGGTCAAATCAGGGGACGCAACTCCGACTTAGTGCAATGCTTCTTTTGGTGACCTTCACCTTTTTGTTATTGTCCGCGCCAAACGTTTTGCTAATTTGCTTGAGGCATAAATATTTTGATTTCTCTGTCCAAGTTGATGACTTCCGGGATATAGCTATATATAGACTTGTGTCAATGATCACAATGTTTTGTTTATACCTCAATCATGCTGTGAACTTTTTCCTGTACTGTATAACTGGACAAATGTTTAGACGAGAGCTATTGAAAATAGTCACGTGCCAATGCGACGCTGCACGCGCTCGATCATCTATGTTCTCGGATTTCACAACTCGAACTGCGAGATTGAGCGAGTCATCAATGCCAAGCAGCCCTGATCTTGTCAGAAGGCAAACAGATTACATCTAAATATGAAAAAGTGCCGAGTAAAGTTATTTTCTGAATACGAAACACTGAAGTGTTTTAACCGTAAAGACTCTCCCCCAAAACATTTATACAGCGTAATGCCATAAATGAGTTAATGGAAGCGCGGTAGTTAACGAAATATAAACTCTATAAAATTGATTTACTAACCTGAATAATAATGTGATATGAAAGTTGTATTTTGTAATATATCTCCTTTCTGAAAAATGACCTGTCGACATCTTCGGGGTAGACCATCGTACAGCTTCTGGATATAATGTAATGGCACCTCATTCCACACATGTTACAATTGAGCCTTCAAGTCATTGACATAATGTTTTAGATAAAGTCGATTTTTCAACGTGTTTTTTCATCAGTTGCCAAACTTTTTCAAAAGAACTCAAATCTGGTGACTGTGGGTGCCAACTAAGCTGGGGTATTTGGTTTCTATGTTTCCATGCCTCGAACTGTCGGGAGCGGTGGCAGGGAGCGTTGTCATCTTGAAACAGCCAGGTATTAACACCAATTACTTTCGCAATATTAATATGCCACAGATTCGAGTAAAACATCTCAATGTGTTGTTCAGAGTTCATGTTACCTTTTACGAATGCTAATGTTGCAATTCCATAATAACTTAACAAGTAATGCAACCCCGAGACCATGATCATAAAAATAAAAATCTGGGCGAGCATGCGCCTGGGCGACCATAGGTCCGGTGAGTCTACCTCTTTTTCTTATTAACAGTCCTTATTCCTATGGTTTTCCTGACGGATCGTCGTTTATATCCAAAGAAATGAAGTCTCCTCTGTACAGAACGAGTAGAAAGTTTCACAGGTGCTTTTTCATTAAATTTGCTGGTAATACACTTTAAACTAGATCGCCGATTTGTTTTTACAATCCTTTATAAAAAGTGCGGTCGGCGCGACTCGCTGTTGCATTTGGTCTGCCAGGTCGATAGGCATTTTCAATGTCTCCCTTTTCTTTCCATCGCTTTAAAATCCTGGAAATAGTGCTCTTACTAATAGTTAACCTTTTTGCAACATCCCTAGCACGTAATCCGCTTTCAATCAGCTCAAAAATATTTCTTTTCGTTTCACTCGTGCCTAGCCATTATTAACAGTGATTTAGATAAACGCGCTCTACAAACTTCTGGAAATATAAGTCACGCCACACCATAAGACTTGACAGGTCTAAAAATAGATAAAATGTCTATTTCTATTATACATTAATTTGCCATATCAAGGACGCTAACCGTAAAAATCAATAAACATACAAGAGGGCCATGATGGCCCTGAATCGCTCACCAGAAACAACTGTTTTTCAGTGATTACAGAAATATTTTTTTCAAATAAACTTGTAGAAAGAGAAGTCCAGTTCAACTTCAACTCTCTAGTTATAAGGTTTCCGGAAACTGATTGTTTTGTTCTTTATAGTAACAAGAGCCACCGCCGGGCGGGGGCAACGCTCGACTTTTTACTTTTTCTAAACGCAAACATAGAAAGGTTTGAACATATCTTAACGTTTCCTTTTTATAAATTTAGTTGGTCTGTCTTGTCACATTAGTTTTGTTTATATATTTTGTATATATATATATGAATAGAAACATTACACAATTTCTAAAAATAGCCACATTACGCAATTTCTAAAAATAGCAACATGACGCAATTTCTAAAAATAGAAACAATGACGCAATTTCTAATAGAAACAATGACGCAATTTCTAAAAAAAGAAACAATGACGCAATTTCTAAAAATAGCAACAATGACACAATTTCTAAAAATAGCAACAATGACGCAATTTCTAAAAATAACAACAATGACGCAATTTCTAAAAATAGAAACAATGACGCAATTTCTAAAAGTAGAAACTATGACGCAATTTCTCAACAACAAAAAAGTCGAGCTAAAAATGATAGGAACCAAGTTTGGTGATCATCCATCCATTATTTTGTGATAAAATTTGCCTATGACTGTTTTTCAAAATTGAGATCTTTGTTCTTTTTTTCTAATTATCTAAAGAATTAGATAATTATATAATCTCAGTATTTAGATATACATGTTTACTGTTTGTCAGGATGACACCACCGGTCAATATTTATTTATGATAACATAGGTATACTAGTCAACTTGACCAGAAAGTTAACATTTCTGGTTAATTATCTTACTCTCTAATAGAAATGAGAAATATTGTATCTTTAACTACATAAAGGAAAAAGGCAAAAGGTTGTTTTGATGAAATGTATTCAGTGAACATGAAAACAACTTTACATACATTGTATGAAACAGTGCAAAATTAATTTCAACAAGTGATAACCAAGTTTGCAAAATGTGATTCTGAATAGAAATAATTGAAACTGATACTTAAAAAGCACAAACAAGAGCCACCGCCAGGTGGGGGCAACGCTCGACTCTTTACTTTTTCTTTTAGCAAACAAGGAAATGTTTTAACAAATCTTAACGTTTCCTTTTTATAAATTTAATCCGTCTGTCTGGTCACATTAGCTTTGTCTATATATTTTGAATATCTAAATTTACCATGGGGGTGGCGGTCCGCATGGTGGTGGTGGTCCGCATGATGGTGGTGGTCAGCATGGCGGTGGTGGTCCGCATGTTGGTGGTGGTCAGCATGCTGGTGGTGGTCCGCATGTTGGCAGTGGTCAGCATGGCGGTAGTGGTCCGCATGCTGGTGGTGGTCCGCATGCTGGTGGTGGTCCAAAAATTTGGACTTTTGACCTTGAAGGTCTTTGACATTTTCAGAAACAAATGAAACATTTTTTTAGGCCTTAAGGAAAATTCTCTAGATTGACCTACAAATGAACCTTAGAATGATGTAATGGCCATCTGAATTCTAGTGCACAAATGGAAAGATACAAAGCACATTGACCTCAGATCTCTGTAAAGCAAACAGGTCATGACATTAAGACATTCAATCTTTTTTTTATGCATAACATGTACATGTGAACTTTTTTTCAAGAGGAAGAATTTACTTCAAAAAGAGGGAGATTTTTTAATTGACAGGAAATTTTGAAATGAAAAAGAAGGGAGATTTCTTAATTTTTTTAAAACACCCCTTATTCTAAGAAAAATATTTAAAAATTGACAGGTGAAAGGTGTCTCCCACTCAAATTGGGAGAGTTCACATGTTTGCATGTATACATATATGGAAAATTCCATCATGAGTTATTTTCCTTTCATTATTAAACTATAATTTGAAGAAATGCTATCGCCCAGGGCATTTTAGCTATAGTTGCTCCTAATATTTTTAGCTATAGCGACCCCTTAAAGGGACCAATCAAATTAATATGAGCACACTTGATAAAAGACTACCTAAGAATGCTACAGACAAAGTTTGGTGATCATCCATCAATTAGTTCTGTAGAAGCAGAAATTTCTATTTTTAGCTTAAGCGGCCCCTATAAGGGTCCAATCAAATTAATATGAGCACACTTGATCAAAGACTACCTAAGAATGCTACAGACAAAGTTTGGTGATCATCCATCAATAAGTTCTTTAGAAGAAGTTTCTAAAGCTTTTTCTATTTTTAGCTTTTGAGACCCCTAAAAGGGGCTAAGCAAATAAATATGAGCAAATTTGATAAAAGACTACCACAGAATGCTACAGACAAAATTTGGTGATCATCCATCAATTAGTTCTGCAGAAGCAGACCTTTAAGAAATTTCTATTTTTAGCTATAGCGGCCTTAAAAGTGACCAATCAAATTAATATGAGCAAACTTGATAAAAGACTACCAAAGAATGCTACAGACAAAGTTTGGTGATCATCCATCAAGTAGTTCTATAGAAACAGACGTTTAAAGTTATTTCTATTTTTAGCTATAGTGGCCCCTAAAAGGGGCCAATCAAATTAATATGAGCAAACTTGATAAAAGACTACCCAAGAATGCTACAGACAAAGTTTAGTGATCATCCATCTATTAGTTCTATAGAAGAAGATGTCTAAAGGTTTTTCTATTTTTAGCCCTAGAGACCCCTTAAAGGGGCCAATCAAATTAATATGAGCAAACTTGATAAAAGACTACACAAGAATGCTACAGACAAAGTTTGGTGATCATCCATCAATTAGTTCTATAGAAACAGACGTTTAAAGGTATTTCTATTTTTTGGCTATAGCGGCCCCTAAAAAGGGCCAATGAAATTCATATGAGCAAACTTGATAAAAGACTACCCAAGAATGCTATAAACAAAGTTTGGTGATCATCCATCCATTAGTTCTTTAGAAGAAGATGTTTAAAGGTTTTTCTATTTTTAGCCCTAGAGACCCCTAAAAGGGGCCAATCAAATTAATATGAGCAAACTTGATAAAACACTACCCAAGAATGCTACAGACAAAGTTTGGTGATCATCCATCCATTAGTTCTGTAGAAGAAGATGTTTAAAGGTTTTTCTATTTTTAGCTCTGATGACCCCTAAAAGGGGCCAATTGGAATGACATGAGCAAATTCAAGTGTGACTGTCACAAGGATGCTACAGACCAAATTTGAAGTAAATCTGCCCAGTAGTTTCAGAGAAGAAGACGATTGTTGACGCATGACGACGGACGACGGACGCCGGAGCATCCCCCTTTAATACTAATAGCTCACCCTGAGCCTTCGGCTCTGGTGAGCTAATAAACCCCAGCTGCATATAAACATATATGTCGCTATTAAAGCTGCATGCCTCCAAATAAGCCAAAATATTTCAAGAATATTTAACTTGGAAAAACTGTATCAAAATTTTAAGAAAAGTAAACAGATTAAAGATTCTAGTGATAATTTATATCTTATGTGCACTTAATGAATTTTTTGAAGTATTTATCACCATATTTCTACTGCGTTACTACGCTGTAGGGGCTATTTTTGCATATTTTGACCCTTTTTTTGGGGTAATTTACGTGGATTATAAGTGCCGATTTCAGTGTGTCAATTACTTTCTTTATTTCACAATATTTAACTTATAGATACATTTTCAAATTTTTCATGAAAATTAGGATGAATCTGGAGGCGTGCGTGCTGCTTACTAATTTATGGCATGACGCTGT